ACTCTTAAATCTGAATTTCGATTATCCAAATAATTAGGGAAGACTATAGTTCTAATACTTATTTTGTTAAATCCCCATGGGAACGATATTTTTATACTACTTGATAACTAGTGCACTTGGTAGGGTTATATTCATAGCTATCTAAGTGGAAGATCATTTAGGGTTTATACCTGATGGACTAATCTCACATAAGTCAATAGTCCTTGGGCCTTCATAAGGTGGCTGGACCCAAGGATCATTTAGTGTAAATGTTGGGCCTGCCAAGAGCCCATACTGATGGGCTCAGGGGTTCATTGTCTTCAGTAGTGAATTCGGCCAGGCCTTGTAACAGAGGCTAGGCTAAACCCATATGGCTTATGTGGAGATCAATGATGGGGTCCCACACCATACAAAGAGAGCCAAGCTAGCCAGTATTCAAAAGGAAATTAGCCTGAAAGCTTAATGGGCCTAAGGCCCAATTTGAACTGGGCTAATTAGATTAGTTAAGAGATGGGTGAATTTGAGTTTAGATCTGCTTCTAGATCAGCAAGAGGATAAGATATGTCTTATCCACTTAGGAGTTCTGATCCAAATAAAGATTTAGATCAAAGAACCCTCTCCTGATATGATTAGGAAGTTGATCCAAGAAGGATTATAAATAGAGGGAGAAATCATTTTGTTAAACACTTTTGCAAATCTCATATCTTCTCTTTGTTCTTGCCGCCCTACCCTGTTCGATCTCCAGCTCTAGGAGTGATCAGGATTGGATCTTGATATTGTTTCTTGCTAGAAGAAACAATCTTGAAGTTGTACTCACATCCCTGTGTGATTCTTGTTGAAGAATTGGGGTTCTTGCTGAAGAATCTCTTTGCTGATCCTGCCTCACCCTAAGATGTGTCATCTTTAGTGGAGGAAGGGATTTGGTGAACTTTTTGGGCGTGAACATCTGCGTTGGGAACTACTGTTGATTCCGTATCAAGTATATCCCTTCCTTAATCTTGGTTTCAGATTTGGTCCGGTTTGTTTCAAGAACGAACCTTGAAAAATGCAAATTTTCTAAATCAGGAAGAGATTTTTTGAAATTTCGCCCAACCACCCTACATGGTTCAGCCATCCATATGATGGATCTCCCTTCCCTTCAACCACACCAGTACCTGCTGAAGTGACCTCAACGTGAGGAGTAACCTCCCTCAAAGGCTTGCTGGCCTAATTAATGTCCAGGTGGAGACATGCTCACCGATCAACTCTGCATAAATCCTATCACTCCTGGGTCTCTCGGAAGTCAGTTCTCACACTAAATGCTTCGGAAAAAACAGAGTAAGGTTTAAAAGTTGGCCTACATTCACAATTACCTCCAAGGACTTCGGATCAGTTAGGCACGTCTTCCCGAAGACCTTGGATGCGGTGCATGATGCCCATGCTAAATTATGCCTATATAAATGCCTTGCCTCCAACCTTAGAAGGTAGATGCGCAATTTAGTTCTTGCAACTCTCTATCTCTCTTTCTTTTAGCTCTCTCACAAAATCTTTGATTCACTGACTTAAGCATTGGAGTGCCCACCCTGGGTAAAGCAACCTGGGCACTCTGACACTGTTTCCTTGCAGGTTGCACCAGTAAACTATGCAACTCGCCACCTTCAGCTAGGGACAGTTTAGGTAGGCATTAGAGCCACCTTTAGCTAGGGACACTTCAACTAGGCGTCAGAGCCACCTTCCAGCTCATCACCATTCAACTAGGCGTCAGAACCACCTCCCAACTCATCACCATTCAGCTAGGCATCCAAGCCACCTTCCAGCTAGGAACCATTCAGTTAGGTATCCAAGCTACATTCTAGGTAGGGATTGTTCAACTAGGCATCCGAGTCACCTGCCAGTCGGGAGCTGCCAAAACGCGCATCATCAATTGGCGCCGTCTGTGGAAAACGCTACAAAAGGCTAAGTTCTCACATGATTCTCTGAGCCTCAAGTAATAACATCATCAAGCAACAACAACAACGCTTGATCAAAAGAACCCCCCAAGGGGGTAGAATCAAAAGGCCCATACAAGTTCTTGTAGTCCTGCCCGAACAGAGTCTCCTTAACTATGAGGCTACCCCCATAGGTCGAGCCCTACGTGCTCTCTGCGAGAGTTGACGGCCAACAGAATGTGAGGCCACCTTACAGGTCAAGCCCTCTATGGTTCCCGTGGGAGTTGATAGCCAACAAACTGTGAGGTTGCTCCACAGATCAAGCTCTCCATGCTCTATGTGGGAGTTGATGGCCAACAGGTTGTGAACGCCTTCGCAAGTTAATCCCATCGAGGTGACGAGGCGCCTATAGGCCGACGTGCTGAGAGCAAAATCGGACTATCAAAATTCTGCCGACATGACGACCTGGAGTCCTGCCTCTGCCGACCTGGTGACCTAGAGACCTGCCTTCACCGACCTGGCAACCTAGCAACCTAGAGACCTATCACTGCCGACCTGGTGACCTACTTCCACCAACATGGAAACCTTCCTTCATCGACTTGGTGACACATGTAATCAGCTCAGATGAGACTTGTCAGCCCTGTTCGCGAGGTCGCCCCTACAGGTCTAGCCCTTTGTGGCTCTTACGGGAGTCGGCAGCCAACAGACAACAATCGCCCTTGCGGGTTGAGCCTTTCAAGGTTCCCGTGCGATTTGGCAACCTACTATTAGTTTAGCTGCCCCCACAGGTTGAGCTCCCTATGGCTTATCGTAGGAGTAGACGACCAGCACCTTCGAGGACTGACACAGAGCAGCCATGGCACTGGCCCGCTATTCAAATGCCAACAACGACACACGTAAGGAAGCTAAACCTCAAAATATGTTGGTAACAGGCCAAAGGACCTACAATAAAGCTACTCCCTTCGCTGAGCTAATCTCAACTCGGGAGTGGGGGGTAATTGATGAGGGCAGATTTGGCCCTCCACTGACATCATAACACATGGCATCGTAGAACAACTGAATGACATCCCAACATCACCTAGGCGATGACTTTCCTTAGCCAAAATGATGGAGTCCAAACTAGCGACTTGGCGACTTGGTGACCTGGCTCCACCGCCAACCTGGCGACCTGCCTTTTCCACCGACCTGGCGACCTGCCTTTATTGCCGACCTGGTGACCTGCCTCTATCGTCGACTTGGCAACCTGTCTCTATGGCCGACCTGGCGACCTGTCTCTACCGCCAACTTGGCGACCTGCCTCCGCTGCCAACCTAGCGGAAATCTTGCTGGCAACCTCGTCCACAACTCAGAGTGGCTAACAATACCTCGTCCAGGGCCGACCTGTGCTACCTCATCAGTATTGGAAGTTAGTTCTCACACCGGATGTTTTAGAGGAAACTAAGTAAGGCGCAAAAGTTGGCCTACATGCACAACTGCCTTAGAAGGTAGATGATCAATTTAGTTCTTGCGGCTCTCTTGCTCTCTTTCTTTTAGCTCTCTCACAAAATCTCTAATTTGCTGACTTAAGCATCGGACTATCCACCTCGGGTAAAGCAAGCCAGGCACTCTGACACTATTTCCTTGCAGGTCACACCAATAAACTATGCAGCTCGCCACCTTTAGATAGGGGCAGTTCAGGTAGGCGTCAGATCCACCTTCAATTAGGGGCAGTTCAAGTAGACGTCAGAGCCACCTTCAGTTAGGGACAGTTCAGCTAGGCGTCAGAGCCACTTTCCAACTCGTCACCATTCAGTTAGGTGTCAGAGCCACCTCCCAGCTTGTCACCCATTCAGCTATGCATCCGAGCCACCTTCCAGTTAGGAACCATTCAGCTAGGCGTCCAAGCTACATTCTAGGTAGGGATTTTTCAACTAGGCATCTGAGTCACTTGCCAGTCGGGACCTGCCAAAACGCACATCATTAGAAGAAATGACAGGGTGTAGCCGTACGATTTGATCCATATAGAATTAGCCGATTTTGTTGGTTCATCATTTAATAGTGGCAAACTACTAAAGAGTGCTTGGGTCATGAACTACTGGAATATTAATTAAATGGCATGGGTCTTATAACTTGTTTAGTTTTCCATATTTAAGGGATATGAGCCTTACCCAAATTGGGATTTACTGGGCTAGAAATCTACTTGAAATATGACCCTGCCCAGGCCCATGATTGGGTCATGCGCCATAGGACCATTAAATGGTTTCTCACCCTCTTCCTCTGCCTCCATCCTTGGGCAGAATTTCTGTGGGCAGGAGATCCGGATTCCCATAGAGTCCGAATCTCATGCCCACCAAAACTCTACCCATGTCTATCCACACAATATCACAGCCACACATAGAGAATATCTCATCCTCCTACATAGTATTATGCAGGGGGAGATGTTCCCAATTCAAAGGGGTAGTGTGTTGTGGGTAGACGTGGGCAGAGTTTCTGTGGGCAGGAGATCAGGAGTCTCATCCTTGCGGTTGCGGCTAAAACTACCCCAACCTCCTCCCTCTCTTCTCCACCCCCGAGCCCCGAGAGCAGATTGCGTTTAATGGACTCCAATTCTTATACCCACTTCATTCTAAAAACGAGTCCCCAACCTCCACAGAAACCTCTTCCCTCGAGGCCTCAACCTCCTCGTCCCTTGCAACAAACTTTGAGGTCAACAACCTTACAGATCCCCTTAGATTTTCCAAAAATTTTCAAGTTATGAATCAGAGCTTCATAGGCCCGCTCTTCTCTTGGACACCTTTTAAACGAGCCCAAAATATGACCTGAGACGTGGACCCTGTTCGATCTTTTGTTTGATAGAAAATATGAGAGAACCAGAAAGTTGAGGGAAAGCTCTTAAGGACATTTTTTATTCTTATTTTCTATCAAACCAAACACAGCCTAATAACAAATGAACTACTGATTAAAAGTTTCTTAATGGTGAAGTCATGCTTTAAACAATGGTTGGTTAATTACTTTAAAGCAAATTGCTTTTACTTTTTGGTGCACTACCTTGTTATCAATGATTCCAGCTTTGTTCTATGATTCTACTTCGGGAGCCATCAACTTTTGACACATCCAGTAAATCACATCCAGATGTTAAGCCCATTTTTCCTATTTATTCAGCTAAATAAAGAATCAAATCACACAGTTTGGTAATAAAAATATATGACATATCAGCACAGCACTACAGAAAAGCCTCGTACACGAATAAACAACCAGACGTACTGCATTCCACACAAAAGCTTAATTAGTGAGATAATATGTTTCTAACTCAGTCGAAATTCTAATTAAACATAGCCTTGCTCGTATTTACGAAACAATTCTTCTGTTTTGGCGTTCCTGAAGGCACAACACCCCATTAAGTAAACCCAGATTAGGGCAACAAGGGTGATGAGCAAAATAATGTCTGCTCTTCTCCATTCCTTCTTGAGATTAGCTAGTAACCCTGCTTTGCATGAGTCACAGGTATAGCAGAGCTGTGTCTGATCGTTGCTCCACTGCAAACAATCCATGTCAGCTGCTGTGTTTATGGGGCTAATCCAATACGTTGGGTTCACAAATGTGTACCCACACTCCGTCGGTGGCTTGCAGCACCCTGACTGAAGAAAGAAAAAGAAAAAGAAAAAAAAAACGAAGGGGTCTATTTAGTCAAAAAGGAGCTTAGTGATCACCACACCACATGCTAAAGAATCTAAACATTGTACTTTGCATGGTTGCCTTTAGTAGACTTGGGCTTAAGCCCTCCCAAACGGTCACTAAGGATTCCTTAGAATTGAAAAAAAAAAAAAACTGTTTTTTAAATCAAAATACAGAATTAGGTTGATAGCTTATGAAGTAACAGCCTTGACCAGTGTGGAGCTTAGCTATAGCCTCGTCGCTATGGTTAAGAGTACACTTGTAGAATTCCAACATTCTTATTCTAATTTTGTATGAACCAAAGTAAAGACAAAGTGTAATCTTAAGTTGTTCTTGACTAGATTGATAGTCTAAATTAGCTAGAAAAGAATTAATATGTAAATAAGAGGGAAATCTGTATAAGCAATTACCTGTATTGGGCTGATCCGTGCATTGAAGAAGTCCTGAGCAAAATGATATCTCTGATTCAACTCCGAACACATACTGGTTGAGCTAAGGCAATTCCTGATTCGATTCCACTTGAAAGAAGCCTGTACCCTTTGACGGAGCCATCCTGAATAGTCATTCAGATGATATTCTAGGTAAACCCTACCAGGAGCAAGATGACCTGAGCCCTTAACAGTAACCATGTAGATGAAGATCACTAGACTCGCCAGTAGTATTATAAGAATGAGCATGACGATGAGATAGAAGATGAGGAGCCATGGGATGCGCCAGAAGCTTCCTATAAAGCCTGCAAGAGCTACAACCAACATTAAGATGCCTAAAATGATGACCGGCCATTGAAGAATCTTGACGCAAGAATTGTCGGTTTCTGTTGCAAGCCAGATTCCGGCACCGATAATTGGGATGGAGAGTAGCATGGCGACGAAGTTGATAGCTCCGACAGCATTGTTGATTGTGGCCATATTGGTGAGACCAAACTTGAGATCACAACTCAAAACTTTTGTTTGTGGCAGCAGGGAAGTCGAAATTGTTGATAAAGCTAATATGGCTTATGGATTAAATGGGATCGATAATAGTAATAGATCGATGTGGAAACCAGATGACCTGGGAATGCAGCTGCTTTGCTTTCCAAACCCATTAGCTTTTCTGTACTGTTCTTCTTGCTTTGGGTCCAGCAAAAAGAAAAGATACAAAAGCTAACCTCCTCCATATTTTTCTATTTTTTTTTTTCTTTGGAAGCCAATGTTTAAACTTTAAAGTTTGTTCTGAACTAGTGTGTCCTCTCTTTGTAATCACTTTTTTGAAAGGAAAATCATTCCCATGATTCTATATAGAAAGTTTCTTTCAAGAACAGCCTAAGATTTAGAAATCAATATCAATAGAGGTCCACGGCGAATTTTCTGATGAATGCCTTATTCCTCTAACTAAGTGACTATTAGTTGAAAACCCTTCTTTCCCCCTTGAATCTTTGATGCCCTTAAATTGAGTCCTCCCTTTGAAAGGGTACAAAAATGTAGATTAACATTAACTTAGCCCCCCAAAAATATCATGTTAAAAGTTAAAACACGATGGATAAATGCCATGTAAACTTTGTTATGAAGATAAGCATCATCAGAATCCAATTGCAAAGAAATTCAAAAGCAACCAAACTTATTTTTGGATATTGTTTTGAGTATGATTTTCGGAATCCAAAATTTTGATCCAAGTTTTCGATGTATGAATGATAGGTCTCTACCCAGCAACTTTTTGGGTCTTCTTTATATCCTTTTCCAAAGTTGCTTTTTTTTTTATTTTTTAATTCTATCCATGTAGAAATTTACTATTGTCCAACGCCAAAAAGCATCATGCAACCCACACTGCTGATGGTGCAAGTGCACTTCACAAGATTATAGATGCCTTCACTTTCAGATCTCTATTGAAAATCACTGCGACATTTCATCATAAAGCGAGGGCACCTGAATCAGGGGAAAAAATTAAAGTTTGCACCAAATCTTTTAGTCATGGGTACCTAGTTATCATCAAGGATCAAAGTACCGGTATTGTGTATCATATCGGACAACTTGGATATGGATATGGATATGGATATGGATATGCTTTGGAAATGCATGGATATAGATGAAAGATATGAAAATACATGAATACACTAAGAAAATACAAACAAATTTTATAAATACATCAATTACACTAACTTTAAGGTCAAAATAACCACAAATAAGGTATAAATACATAAGAAATGTATATTTTTATGGTATATATTAAAAAATATATTACAAATAATATAATGGGATGAAAAGATATCACATTGATAATCCACCAATCAAGATTCCAAGACTCATATTATATTTATTTAGATCGTTACAAATTAACACATGCATAAAACCATTATTATGTTATATTTTATTTAAGTCCAAGACACAAAATATATGCATTTATTATATTTTAATTACTATATCAATTATTTTCTATTTTTCTACAGTAACAAAAAAAGTCAACTAAATAAAAAATTTTAACCTCTAAAAAGACACGGAATGGACWCTAGCTAAACGATTCAAATCTGAAGGATCAATTGAAAGCAGCGAAGAAAGAAGGAACCCTTGATGGCTATGCTGACGCACTCAAGGTGCTACATGCTAGCAGCAAGAAAACAACTGCGCTACCACGCAACGACTTGAATGCTAGCACGTCTAGAAGCAAAATGAAAAACTACTGCACGTGTTTGATAAACAATATATTTCTTTTTGTAAATAATAAATATTTATTATAAAATGTAAATTAAAATATCAATTGATAATTTATAAAATATATAATCTTAACTTAAAAATAATTCATATCTATATATTAAAATTTTTAAAATACATATCATATGAAAATTCATAATTTTTAATTACTAAAATAATTATTCCATTATTAACATTTTTATTTCAATAAATTTTCTAAAATAAAAAATTGTTTTTGATATAAATTTTAATTAGTGGATTTGATAGATTCAATATAATATTGTATGCTTGAAACTTATATTTTTTATAAATAATAAATATGTTATTATCTAGTGTAAATTAAAATATCAATTAATAATTTATAAAATATATTAAAATATCAATTAATAATAAATATGTACAAATGTATGAATTTTAAGTACTAAAATACTTATTCTATTATTAATATTTTTATTTTTATAAATTTATTGGGAATAGAAAATCAATCTTTGGTATAAATATAAATTAGTAGAATTTTTATTTCATTTATAATTATAAATATTAATTTTTAATATTATTATTTGAACATTAATTTTAATATGACATTTCTTTAGATTGCATGTTTACAATAAACATAATAAAATTAATTTATTTCACTTCTTATCGAAAATTAAAGAGTGGCTTAGTTGCTTATGGGGTGATAAGCATTGACTTGGCCCACTAAGGTGGCAGGAAATGTCGTTTCATCATCCAATCAGTAGGTCGCTTCCACATGTCTGGGTATTTATAGGTCGGGCCAAATTACTCCTCATCAATATCTAATCTTATGTATTGGTCATATTAAAATGTAAATGCAATAAATAAAAATTATTTTTCTTAATTATGGAAATAAAATAAAAAATTAAGGAAAATGAGAATTAATGTCTAACTCATGACCCCACTATGTAAGCCAATCTATTTAACAATTCAATTAGCTAGGTCACCACGTTGTTAATTAAGTCAATGTTTTCTTTTATGAATAAGAAATTTAATGGTAAATTTATCCAAATTTATCCATGTTGAGAATTAAAGTCAATTAGCTAGGTAGTCTACGTATACGACTACCTCTGAGGACTTCGGACCTGTCATGCACGTCTTCCTGGAGATCTCGGACGTGGTGCGTGAATCCCACACCAAACAACGCCTATATAAGGGTCTCATCTCCTCCTTGAGAAAAAATGTATGCGGAATATGACTCTCAAATACTAGCAATCTTACTTTCAGTTCTCTCTAAAACCTCTAATTCGCTAACTTAAGCATCGGAATGCCCACATCGGGTAAAGCAACCCGGACACTCTAACCTGTCTTCTTGCAGTTCGACCAGGCGACCTCACTAGCCCGACGTCTGAGCTGTCCTCTAGCAGGGAACACCAGATCGCACATCATCAGATATGTTCTCATATTTTTCTATAAAATTGCTATATTTTTTACAATTTATTGTTTTTGTGTATTTTTTTACTTTTTATTATTTAACTATGACATCATTAGTTCACCTACTTAACCTAGATTGTTGAACTATTGGCACCCCACTTGGATAGAAATACCACTTTGCTTTTGAGTAAATTTTAAGTTTTGTATTCTAGTTCCATCATTAGTAAAAGTAGAATTTATTTTCATACTCATTTGTTTAATATGGTAAATGTAAAATATTATAGATGTACTATGCTTTCTATAAAATTTCTATATATTTTTGTGTTTCTATCTTTTCTAAATATTTAGTTTTTGATTATGACATCATGGGCTGACCCATTTGACCTAAAATGGTTGGACCATTGACCCACCACCGAGACAGGAAAATAGTTTCATTTTGAGATCAGTTTTAAAAATTTTGTATTTCATTTACATCATTTATAAAAATGTTTCTTCCTTATCAAACTTATTTGTTAATATGATTAATTTATAATATTAGAGAGGTGTTTAAATTTCTTTTACTTTTATACTTTTCATATTTTTTGTATCTTTTCTATTTTTAAAAATTTTATTATTTAAATATGACATCATATGTTTATTCATTTGACTCACATGGTTAAACCACTAACCCAACAATTAGACAAGAAAATGGACACATTAGTATCTTAAATATGGGATTTAACAAGAGGAAATAGAATGGGCTGAAAATTTTAGTCAAGAAAAAGTCCAAAAGCCTTGGTGAGCTATTCCCACTTTTTATGGTAGTATAGATATAGATATATAGATTAGTTGTTTTATCTCCAAAATATTATATATTTGCCTTTTCGTGATTATAGACATAGATATGGTAGTATAGACATAGAAATGATATATTTACATTTTCATAAACAATGATATATTTGCCTTTTGTAATTGAATCTATGATAATAGAAATACATAAGAGTAGACAATTATTTTATAATTTAATTTACTTAACTTATTTTTTTAATTAATTATCTTAACAAATTTATTTAAATTAGAAAATGATTATATAATTAAAATGATAATTATATAATTAGTTAACTAATTATAAAATAATTACTATAATTTATTTAATTAGCTAAATAATTAATTAATAACACAATAAATTAGTTAATTAATTAAGTTAATTATTTAATAAAAGTTATAGATAAAAATAATATGAATTAATACAAAATATTTTAATACTTTTTTATTAATACAAGATTTATTTTAAAATAAAGTTAATACAAATTGGTCCATGTTTATTAACAAAAAAACCAAAAAGTAAGAAAAATTTAGTTTCAAAAATAAACCTTATATTTTGATACTCATTTAAAATTCATTTGAAAAATAAAATTATACTACAAATTTGTTGACAAAATTAACAAAATTATTAGTTTTATAGTTAATTATTATAAATTTAAAATCCCCTTATCCATTTAAAATTAAGAAAAATTAATAGTAAATAAAAATTAATAAAGGTTCAAACAACTTAATAAAAATAAAAACTAATACAATTTGGAATGTCACAATCCTCCTACTATGGGTGAAACATGGGTAGGTTGAGTTGGGTTGAGAGTCAACCCAAGCCCAACCCTAATTCTAAAACTTCGAGCTCAGACATGGCTCAGCTCAAAGTTAAGCCTGTGGGCTTGGGTGTGTTAGCTTTTTAACCCACTTTTAAAATAGAATAGATTGATAATATGTAGATATGTATAACATAAAATGTTGGGCAGGCTCAGATGGGAGTGTGTCTGGCTCGAGCTACTACCTAAGGCCTCAACTCAAGTCCAACCTGAGTTTAGGTTAGGGGTTGAGCTTTTTGGCCCAAGCCCAACTTGAAGTTCGAAAACTCATGCCCAACCTATGAAAAAGCATTGGTTGAGCTAAGTTAGGCTCGGGTTGGACCCACCCAAGTTGCATCCGAGGTTCTTTTGCCTCAAATTCTTTTAATAAAGCCCATGCAATGCATGGAT